CCCGCCGGCGCGCCAGAGCGTCATCCACGTGCAGGCGGCGGGCGCGCGGGACGAAGCGTGCGCGCCGGCCGTGGGCGCGCTGCGGCCGTGCGCCACGTACCCGCAGCAGAACCGCTCGCTGTGGTCGCAAAGCTACAGCCCGGCGCGCGCCGCCGCCCTGCGCACCGTCAACACGGTGGAGTCGCTGGCGCGCGCCGTGCCCGGAGCCCTGGCCGGCGCGGCCGAGCCCAAGTCGCAGACCTACACCAACGGCTTCGGCGCCGCGCGCGACGGCCTGGAGTTCGCCGACGCCGACGCGCCGGCCGCGCGCTCGAACGCTGAGTGCGGCCGAGGCGGGCCGGGCCCCGCGCAGCGGCGCTGCCAGCGCGAGAACTGCGCTTTCTACGGGCGCGCGGAGACCGAGCACTTGTGCTCCTACTGCTACCGCGAGGAGCTGCGGCGGCGACGCGAGGCGCGCGGGGCCCGGCCCTGAGCCAGCGCCCGTGCACGACTGCTCTCCATCCTGTCGGTGTCTTTTCTACGTGCCCTGGTCACCCGGAAGGCCGGCGACCCCCGTGTCAGTGCCGTGTACATGTTTGGTCAAATGTTCCTACTGGTGCCTGAACCTACACTGACGCCACTCAGGTAGTAGACGGATAGGAAACAAGTCATACTGTCGGCAGTGGGTGTGCTAGCTAGCATCTGCCTCGTACCGTGGAAACTCATAGCCATTGCGAGAGTATTTTTGTTCCGAAATAAAGAGATTTGCAGCCCTTTGTTTTTAGAAGGGAGTGTTTTACATGCCTTTTTTTTTTTTTTGCTTTTTTTCCCCCCTCTTTAATTCAGCCACTGACCTCTTCCAGCAGCGGTCACGTGCGTGCGCTCAGTGCCACCTGGGGGTGAGAAGCAAAGGCTGCCAGGGACTGTGGGGGCGGCTCCAGCGGCTTCCCTTCCCAGGTCCCTGCAGGAGAGGAGACACTTGGCCGCCAGCTGACGCTCCGGTGGTCACGGTGGCCCTTTAGGAATACACACGGCTCCATCATAAGCAAAACCAACTCCCACAGCCCCCACCCCCACCCCCGCTCCCCGGGCTCGAGCAACGTTCACACTGCCATCCAACCGCGGGCGTCCGTAGGATGGGCACCGGACAAGCTACCTCGCAGGGCACGGTGAGGGGTAGTGGTCGCTCCTGGTGCCCGGCAGCTCAGGTGACAGGAGCTTTCTAAACACACCTTGGGTCCAAAAAGCAAGGTCTGAACCCATGATTCGGAGTTGCCCATATATGAGCAAAGATGCCAGCCTGCTCACTTTTCTCCTTTGAAGACACTTGCACAGTGGACTGTCGCCAGAGGGCCCCTAGGAAGTGACCATCGGTGCCCCAGGAGAGAAACTGACCCTTTTTGGTGACTGTGTAAGCCCCCACTAGGCTGCTTTGAAATGCGGCTGCGCCTCTTTCCAAAGGAAAGGGGCCGGGGAAAGCCAGGAAGAAAGCCCACCCCACCCCACCCGCATCTGTCTGGGTTCAGCCAGGTACAGGGTCACCATTCCCATTGGGGTCCCCTCCGTAGGGCAGGGATCTCCTTGCCTGTGGCTCCATAACACAGTGAGGGGGCAGCCCCGTCCCTGAGCGGTCCCTTTTTTGGTGCCTCCTACATTTCTTGAGGAAAAATTTAAAATGTGTCCTTAGCTACCCTGTTTTGTGCAGCAATATGCAACCTCTTCCTTCCAAGATTACCTCTGGAGATCACATTCTGGGCCAAGGACACTAAGTTAAACCTGCCTCACGAGAGCTCCTTTCCAAGAAATACCGCTACGATGGGGAAAATCCTTGCCAGGAAAAGAATACTCAAAAATCCGTGGGAACCTTAGGAGCGCCTGTAACAAGCCTAAGAAAGGAGAAAGCACCCAGCTTTGCTGTAATAACCTCAGGAAGTGCAGGAAGCAGACCATCTTTCATTGGAGCCAGCCTGTCCTCTACAAGGGATGCTTCACCCTTATCCCACCAGACACAAGGAGCAGCAAAAAAAAAAAAAAAGGAATTTTTTTTTACTTGTTTGAAGAATTATAATAAACTAATTTGAGTATCTCCTGTAATTTCCTTTTCGTTTTTAATTATTTCACAGCCTGTGGAGTTTTCAGTAACTTATTCACGTTTTGCATAAATGGTTCCTTAACATTAATCAAAATTCTTTATGAAATAGAATCTTTAAGAAATTTTTTGAAAGCTTTCCTATTCATGCTGAACAATACTTTCCATGTGTGGTAATTACATCACATCCCTGATATTACTGGGGTTTCTTTGTTACTCAGAGCAACAACAACAAAAAGGTTTTTTAAAATCTCTCATCGAGAGGGTTTGTGGCAGCTTTTTGGACTGACTCTTCATGTCACACTTTATCATGCTGGGAGGTCACAGGAGGTGTTGCTTCACATGTAGACACTGCTGTCACTCCTCAGTCTTAGGAGGCTGCGATGGCCAACCTTGAAATACTTATTCTGAAACCAGTCTCGTGCGCACAAGAAGGAGGCATAGAGTAAATTCTTGCTGGTTTTTTTTATTTTTTTAATGTGAAAACAGCCAACCAGAAAATTTCAAAATGGGCTATGCAAATATTGTGTCTTTCTCACGCCCTCTGCCTGGTTGGGAAAAAAAAAAAGGCAAACAATAAAAAACTGTTGTAATAAGAGAGGAAAACCTTCAAAACCAGGCAGTGTTTAGTCACAGATATTACCAACTAATGGTGACCTCTCTATATCTCCTTGAATTTCCAGTCACCTCTGCCCTACCCCCATCTGACAGATGTGCCACCAGTAACAGTCTGAGATCCAGCCACTGGCCACCACGTGGGCTCCTCCCACATGTGGCAGGTCCCCTGATTTAGAGTGGCTCTGAGGCACCTGTGGGTGCTGCCCCAGCTGACATACAATTCAGTCACCTCGTTTACAAATAGCCGTTTCCTTTTGCGAGAGGTCTGTGTCCATCCTTCCTCTAATTAGTATAGAAAAGTGAGGGAGCCTGCTGTTAGATTACGGTCACTGGTCCAGTGTGGCATGATCCCTGGTCAGGGATCTGGACCAAAGTAGTTTCCAGGCTGGGTGGGAACTCATAGAAACCGCTGTATTGATCACATGTGGGCCAGGAGGTCCCCTAATGCCTTTCTGTGACCTGGGGTCCTTTGTGGAGCAAGGACAGGGAGGTGGATTATGGGTACTGGAGAAAAGGAAAGCCAGTCCTAATTGGAGAAAGGCTGTGAGCCTCACTTTCGCACTCGTCCCAGACACAGGCTGCCTCTGAGCAGCCTTTCTGCTTGATCTGGCCAGACGTCCCTTTCCAGGATGGTTGGACATCTCCAAGGGACAGCAAGTTTCTAGAAGGATCCCCGATACTTCTAAACTCCAATGGAGGTTATTTCCATAATTTACTTCACATTTCCCACACATGCGTTACCTGGGTATATGATTTTTTTAAAATAATACATTGTTCAAGGAAGGTCTTTCTAAGTGTATTGTGTCTGTAGATTTTATGCTATGTTATGTTGAAATTTTACAAGCCACGTTTAAATTGTACTATAGAATTTATTTTTATATTATTTCCAGACTATGCCACAGAGCAATATTTTGTGCCCTTACATTGTCACAGGGTTGTCCCCTTGGAAAAGTAACTGTGGGTGGGAAGGGGCCCCACTGTGGGGCCTTGGAGTCTAAATGCTTTTTGCTATTTGTTCAAACCCCCTATGAAAGTGGGAACGTGTCAGTGTCTTTTCTCTTTCCGTGGAAAGCTTGATTTTTTTTTTTGGTCGTTTGTGGATATTGGTACTGCGCCTTCCCTCTTCAATGAATATATCACGAAGTTACTGTGGACTTTTTCTTCTCCGGCCAAAAAGGAGTTCTGAAATCTTTGGATCTGTTCCCTTACAAATGTTATGTTTTTCAAAATTATTTAACTTACTAATTCTGGTAGCTTATTGTCAGGAATTTGGTGACTCAAGACAAAAGGACACTCCACACCCCCAAGTATACACCTTAGCACCCACGAGCTTATTTTGCATACTACTCAACTTTGCAGAAAGAAAATTGACCTACCAAAATATATTTCATGTTAGTTAAGAAAAAAGGGCTGTACTTATCAGTGGTGGGAAATTTGTGCGAGGGGAAGAAACGCTTGTGCCAAACCCAAGTGTAACAGTGTGTTTTCTGCAAGTGTTTTGTTTACTAAGAAACCCGGGATAAGGGCAGAAGGCATCTACTGCGCATTTCAGGTTTCTTTCTTCATGGTAGGGTTCCTTTTCCGAATCCTGGTGTGGACTTTGACAAACTAAGTTCCTCGAGTGCTTTTTACTTTTCTTTTGTTCAAATTCTTTCAATAAATGAAGAAGAAAGCGCAATTCTGTGGCTGTGCGAGCCCTGCCTTGTCCAAACTCAGCCCCTCTGTCTTCAGGCTGCTGAGATGGACCCCTCTGGCTAGTCTGGTTCTGCTGTCCCCTGAGGGCAGGCACACAGGGGCAGGGCTCAGAGGCAGTTGGCATTCCTGGGCCAGGGAGCAGGACCCCCTTCCAAAAAGCCTTAAAGTGGTGGCACTCTGGAGACCTCTGAGCACCACCTTCCCACTCAGTCCTGACCATCAACCCTTTTCTGCTCGAACTGGCCGCGTCGGTGTGGCTGTCCAGGACAGCGTGGGGCTCTTGGCTTCATTCTCACTTCATCCTAGTCCACCCTCCTCCCCCACATCCACGCACATCTGGTTCTGTTGGCACAGGGCGTGTTTCTGACGGTGCTGCTTGTTGACACAGGGCTGGGTCCAGGGTAGTTCATCCCCTCAGGCATGATGGTGAGGGCCCCCCATTCACCCCAGGGGCTCCCAGGCTGCAGGGAGTGCTTCCAGGGCTCAACGCCTTGGAAGATTTTTATGACTGCTCCAAGCAGTGTGCGAACTGGTCTGTTAGCAGCTTGGCAGGTAGCTCCATCTCCAAAAGCAGCCCTTTCTCCCACTCCATGCCCCATAGAGAAAAGTGAGGGAGATGCCCACGGGACCCTCCGCAATAACTGGGTGTGTGGTCTGTAAGGTGTGAAGATGCCTCATTGACGGGGCTGACTCTCTCTCTCTCTCTCTCTCTCTCTCTCTCTCTCTCACACACACACACACACACACACACACANCTCTCACACACACACACACACACACACACACACACACACGGGCAGCTCAGAGCCATTATCTGCAAACACTGCTGGCAATATTACAGCTTCTATTTATTTCACAATGTGTTAAAATTTGCTTTTTTACTGTTTTATTCTTGGGGAAAAAAAAAAAAGAGTCCCACCAGCCCCAATTATGTATATACAAAATGAAACCCATTACTTATACTTTTTTATGCCTCCAAGAGAGCATCTGAAGAGTAAATAAATATAAAAAATATATATATATAAAAAGATATATACACATATATATGTGTATACATATTATAATCAGTTCTTTAATATAAGAGTTTTCAGAGTAAATATAGGCTGAACCTGCTCAAGCCAACCCGTTAATTTAGTTTGGACGAGCTAGCAAAACAAAACCAGCTGTTTGAGAATATCTACAGACACTGGGGCACGACGTTAAATAAGGAAACAGCCAAATCCTTACCAAGACCACTCTCACCCCAATGCTTCTACCTTCTCCACTGTCAGCCACTCTGCCCCAGCGACCTGGGCCTGCCTCAGGGCCTTTGCACGTGCAGTTCATTCTATCTGGAGTGACACCTCCCCCCCGCCACCCAGAGCCCCATGGCTCACTCTTCACCACCAGCCAGTATTTGCTCCAATGTCACCTGTCAAGGAGGCCTTCCCTGGAATCTTTATTTACAATGACAACACAGCCGCCCTCCCTGCCACCTCCCGGTACATTCCTTTTGTATATTTATCGCCATCTGCGTGCTGCCCACGTGAATTATTCATTCCTTTTATGGTCCCCAATCCCCCATAGAATGTAAGCTCCATGTGGGCAGGAATTTTTGTACATCTTGACCACTGCTCTATTTCCAGTGCCTACAACAGTGCCTGACACATATTAGGCACTGGATAGCTATTTGTTGAAGAAAGGGAGTGAAATCAGTAACGGAATCAGTAATTAGCTGCTAAGCCCCAAAATGTCGGTTTCAGCCTTCACCAAATCCAGATTCTACTGCTGTCCTTAAATGTGCAGAACGTTGGCTGATACAGCAGCCTGGCTCCTCCCCCTGTGCTACACATTGGCCACGTATGGCATTGAGCACATAACCGTGACGGCAGGCGTTCCTCTGGGTCTCTGTCCTGTGCCCTCATCACAGATGAGCCCCAGCTGTTTGCAGAGAGCAGCTGGAGCCAGCTGAGGTGGGGACAGTTCCACAGGGCAGCTGTCATGGTCAGGGGCGCTGTGACGGGCTCCCGTCTCACCCCCTCCGTGAGGTCATTCTGGACCTGGACTGTTCTAGAGCATCCCTCATAGGTCCTTAGGTTGCTGTGCCCTACTCAGCGTCTCCTAGGAGACGGGCCTTCCTTCCTAGAACAAACTTGGGTGGCAGCAGATGACCTAGCCAGGGAAGGGAGTCAACGTGACCACTAGAAGGACCCATTCTCGTGTCACCGAAAGCAGCCTACGGTGGAAGAGGAGCTTGTCACTCAGACTGACGGGTGGGCGTGGGTGACTGGACGAGAACCAAGGTCCCCCGGGGCCCCCTGGGTCGCTGGTGGCTGTGCGCTGGAGGGACCCCGCCTTGACATCACAGAGCCAAACAACATGCCTCCCGGGCCCTCCAGCGCAAGCAGTGACCTCACCCACCAGCGGGGAGGGTGGTCCCCTCTGAGTGTCCTCCCCCTGGGGGATGGTTTTCACAACTACCTAACCTTGCTGTTTACTTCTAGGTCCTTTGGCCAACGCGTTTTTCTCTAAGACTTGTTGGCAAAATACTGTTACAAGCTTCTCATAGGACCTTTGTCCTACTGTGGCCTGGTTAAAAGGCTTTGTCCTTCTCTTTAGTCCCCTCCTGTGGCTTTTGCTGTCATTTCTCTGGGTGCCATATTTTAGAGTCCCTCCTGGAGGGTGGGGGTGGGGAGGATGTAAATTCTCCCTCAAAACATTCCCTCTGCAGCTGCTCCACAGTGAGTGGGCCCACATGTGTGTGTCCCTTTGCTTGATTTGCCAAATAAACAGTGTCACTTTCACTGCTGCCCTAACAGGCTGCGGGCACGCTCCTGCCAGTACTCAGAGGGGTGGGGGTCGGGGGGGGCAGGCTTTCCCAAGGCCTGTCCAACCTTCCTCTGTGGCAGGTACCTTTGCATCCTTTTTCCTGCCTGAATGGAATGGGATCCAAACACACAACTTGGCAGGTAGCAGTGGGACAGCCGGTCTCCACGCACGTATGACCAAAACAAGTCACATCACCAGGAGCGTGGTTGGGAAATCAGTCATGTCCCGGAGCCCCAGCCCACGAGGTACGCTCCACCTCCAACAGAGCCAGCCACCACCATCCAGCACAGAGGCAAGGCCCAGGCCCTCAGTCACGCCAGCCAAGGGCGAGGGCCTGCGAGAGGCCAGGGGGCCTCGCCTGGGTCTGCACATGCCTCACCGCTGGTCGCTATCTTTGATGCGTGGGGCTCCTTTTAACTTCGGGTTGTTGTGATGTAGTTGCTTTGCTCCTTTAAACATGCATTCGACCTAGGAGAGTCAGTAAATGTCGTTCCTCCATTTCTTTCCCTTTCTTTTTCTTTCATTGGTTCATTTGACTGATTTGGTGGTGAAATACGCTGCTTCATTTCCCGACTTGCTTGATTACTGTGGACATTGGAAAACATTGAGGCAAAAATGGGTCATTAACCCTGTTCCTTTGACCCAGCCATCCAGAGCCCTTCCTACCTGCGAGCGTTCGTTCCGAATCAGTGCAAACATCCTTTCCCATCTGGTTCACTCTCAGAACTGTTGTCAGAGCTGTCTTTGGTGGTTGGGTTGTTACTTTGTAAAGTATTAAAGCACTAAACCAATTTTTGCAATACGTAGGACATCTTGCTTTCATTTTGGAAAACTTCCAGTAATGACTACTGCACTTTTTATAGAAGAACTGTATTTCATTTCTTTCTTTTATGAAAGATGACTTCAAGTAAAAATAGCTCTATAATCCGTGTGACACGGCTTCTCCATCACTTGACACGGAGAGAAGCTGTGATGCCTACTCAATAAAGTTAACATGTTTGTAAAGCATTGGTTGGCCCAGTTATTTGCCTGTGCCTGTGTTCCTGGGAAAATCCCATCTAAGAAAAGCTTTGTGGCCCAAAAGAAGAGGCTTCTATCAGGCATCTACCCACGGCAACTACAAAAAAAATAGTTTTTCCAATGAGATGAGATATAAACCCAGTTATTCCAATTTCGTCATATGGAAGACAGTTTCTCTCCTTTTTAAAATGGTCATGACGTGTTCTAGCTGAATAAAAACAAGACAGTTTTTCTGAGCATGCATTCGTCAGAGGGTACAATGGACGCGAGAGAACGACAGTGGGGAGCCAATGGACGCAAGTACTTTATCGTGCGTTTTCATTCGTGCATGTTTTTCTGTGGAGAGGCATGTGTCTGTAAGAAAGTAAGAGGCTCTCTCAGAGGCCTGAGGATGTTATCCCGGCCTGTCTTAAGCAGGTGACGCAGCCGGTACTTAGTCACAGCCAAATGGGGAACCTGCTGGGCGCTGGGGATGATGGCCATGGTGGTGACTGGTGCCCCCACAGTAGGCACATTCTAGGCATTGAGGAATCCAACCCATGCGACAGCCTGTGAGTCAGATCTCAAGGTCCCCGCTACATAGACGAAAGATGTAAAGTTTTGGGAGGTAAGTGGTGAAA